ATGTTGAACAAGTTGCCAAAAAACAATGTATCCACAGTTTAGAGCTAATGGATAAATCTGTACCCCTATAAAGTGCTATCTGCATTTAAATTACAACCATCAATCATTGGCTTATATTTGCAGCTGATCTTAAATCTGCAGAGACTTTCACTCTTTTTTTATTGAGAAATTATCAATTATTCAAGTGTTTTAAAGGAAATATATTGGGATGTTGTAGTTGTACTTATATGTGTATGTGCAGGTCTTTGTACAATATGTTGAGGTGGCTTTGATCAGTGTGTACAATTCTTAAATGTCATGAAGACTATTTACCTCTTGTAGCGTGTCTTGATTGTTATGTGTGTACCTGCAGATATAAAATAATCTGTGATAAATCTTCTCTGCTCTTTTAAAAAACTATTATTTGATTTGAATAATGCTCCTTGTTTAAAGAAGACCAACAACCCTAATAACAGAAGGAGCAGGGATACTCAGACGTTTAAGATTGTAGGCCTATGGTGTAGATTGTATTATCGGATCATGTATATTTAGATTTCTGATATAATTTCTGGAATGTCATCCTTGGTTTGTTGTTCAATAAATATGTTCTAAGTTGTACTAAACAGCGGCTTTGTTTATGCTTATTGTAAATACGAGTTGGTCACCTGAACTCAGCTCTTGGAAAACTTGTTTTGAAGCACTTTTTTAAGTTGTGGGGGTGTATGTTGTGTGTAGGTTTGACCTGTGTTTGAGGTCTGTCCATTGACACAGGATCACAGGGTCAAACATACGAGGGGGTTTCTAGACATGTCCGTGTGTCTGTGTGTGTGTGTGTGTGTGTGTGTGTGTGTGTGTGTGTGTGTGTGTGTGTGTGTGTGTGTGTGTGTGTGTGTGTGTCTGTGTGTGTCTGTGTGTGAGTGTGAGTATACACTGGTGTAAAAGCGGCTATTAGCCATTTTCGCACCAAGTACTTAGCTGGTACTTGCCCCCGGTACTTGTTCCACCCGAACTCTTTAGTCCCTGGAACTGTACTAGTCTATCAAGTTCACACCGAATAAGTCCCTGAGGGAGGATTACGCAAATGAAGCCGCTGACGTCACTTCGTCTTCTTCTGCTTTGGGTTTACTGGCAGGCCGCAAACAACTTCATGGCGTATACTGCCACCCGAAGTCCCGGAGTGCCCCGGCGTTGGGGACTGGCTTCAGTAGAAGCTGCTGGGTAGCGCCTTCCGAGTAAATTGCCAGAAGTGCCAACACCTCCTCATCACTCCACCGCTCCCATGTTTTATTTTGTGTTGCCATAAGTTAGTCTCTCTCCGTTGGTGCGCTGGGCTAATGCTAATGCGAGCAAACACAATGGCAGCTTCACAAAACTTTTCCGAGTTTTACGGGGCGTGGTTTGCAATTCGCCCATCCATTCAGAAATTGGAACCTTTTTCTCCCCAGGAAAGTCCCTGATCTTTAGCAGGGACTTTCCTGGGGAGAAAAAGGTTAGCAAAAAAAAGTTCTAGTTCCAGATCTTTTTGGTGTGAACGCAAAATCCCAGGAACTATCGGAACTATTCCTGGAAAAAGTACTCCGGTGTGAAAGCGCCTACTGGCAACAAACTGGTTTGGTCTGTGAACTATGAGTCAAATAAACGTCATACCTATAAACACAATTGAATATATAGTTTCTCTTAATGCTAAATGCTAAGTCATTGGCAATCCTACAGCTTTCTAGTTTTACGCTGAATTAAGACTTTAACCAGTACATTAATCCACATTTGGTGGGTTTTGGGTGCAGCAGGACATAGTATGTGGGTGTGAGTAAAAATAAAAACGACATTATATGAGTTCTGAATAGTTTTTGGACAACAATGGAGCTATATGAATCTGAGAAATAAGATATAAGGCTGTGATACAAACACATAGCCTAATACTTGTTTTCATAGGAATTGCAGACAATAAGAAGAATGTGGAATTTTCTTAGTCCTATCCTCTCCATCTTTCTTCCCCAGCCTCACATTATGTATCTGATTCAGTTGTGTGATATCTCACCTCAGAAGGAACACTCTGTCTTGGCCTGACCCACCACCATACAGCAAATACTAGCACCCTGCTAACGCTAAAAGCTTTGTTTGTGTATCTACATGTGTGTGTTCATCAATTTCTCCTGCCACAGTTGCGCCACAGACTTTTGAAGGAACTGTAGAGATTTCTGGATGCAACACATGGTACAAATCCAACAATTCTGCCTCCAGCAACTTACACAACAAATTATATAACCCAGGAAATTATCACCAAACAATTAACGTCTCGTTAGGCTCACAGCGAGCCCAAAATGTGTGAGTCTCTTGTGAAGCGCAGACTGCCAACATTCAAACTTCCTTGGTGGTATGAGCACATTTCCACAAATCAAAACTACTCAGTTAATGCTGAAATCTGTATCTCTCCACCGCCAACATGTAACTGAAACTGCATTTGAGTCCTGCTGTTTGAGGAGTAAAACCTGCGAAAATGTGATACTACAGGGCCCTATGCTGCCGATTTAAAGTGTGTTCGCTCTGTTCCGAACAGATTTGAGCAGAACTGGTGCCAGCCCACATGCTGATCAACATTTTCTCAATAGCGCTTCCAACCACATTCAATGTGACAGTTTCTTCGTTTCATAATAATCCAACATGGAGATGATGTAGTTATTAAAATGCATGGTGGAAGCTAGAAAGTAAAAAGTTGTGGGTACTGGAAATCAACTCACATTTTTATTCAGCAATTGTAATTATGTGTCATGTCTAAGAAACTTATTGTGAAAGTGTATTCTTTATGTTAGTTTTGTCATGTCCCTTTGTTCTGTGCTTTATGTTTAGTTTGTTAAGTAAGTTGACGAGTCCATCGGCACCAAGACTTTTTATTTCTGAAATTAACCTTAACTGTGTCATTGTTTTGTCCCTTTTGTTATTGTGAGAAAGACTCCTTTTTGTTCTTGATTCTAGTTCTCGAATTTCCATGCACTCTACCAGGCACCTCATCCGACCATGCAATCAGGTCTTACCTCCTGCTTGACCGTAACCTGTCCTCCCTCGATACGTGTTATATCATGTGGTCCCATTCCCCTTGTCCACCTTTGTTGTCCCGCCCCTTTTGTTAGTGTACTGCGTCCTTGTCTATGCCCCGCCCCTCTACCTCCTGGACTTTAC